AATTTGACACAACTCCGGGAGGCAGTGGAAGACAGGAGGGCCTGGCGTGCTCTGGTCCATGGGGTCATGAAGAGTCGGACACAACAAAACGACTAAATGACGACGACGATAAACTTAGAAGTGGTGGCTTCATAGCATAATTGGTTCTCTATAAATAGATTTGCTTTTCTATCTCTCCTTACAGGAATGCTCACAAAAAAAAAAACCCTAGCCATTGGCATTTGTTTAGGTAAACTATTGGCCACAGAATCCATGGCAGATGGGATCTAGTGTCCAACAATATCCATATTAGGCAAAATCCAAAGAAACAAAACAAAACAAAATAAAACAGGACAAAAACATGTGGCACCTTAAAGACTATTATATTTTAATGTGAGCTTTCGTGAACAAGCCCACTTTGTCAGACATTTTTCAATGTTCTGTGTAGATTTCTCTCAGATAAATGATTTGTACCACCGGATACCCAGTCCTCACAGTCAACGGTTTGTTGGAAAAACTAAGTAAGACCTCACCTATCTGACCTCATGAAGGAATATTGGCAAATTCCCCAGGCCCCAGAGACTCAGGAAATAAATGGCCTTACATCCAGTTCACCCACTTGCCTTCTGGGATCTATGGGATAGCCACCTCCTTTCAACATTTGACAGACAAATTCTAAGTATAGGACTGTGCAGTAGTGAGCATCAATGACACCCTTGTTTTCAGCTCCTTCTAAGAGGAGCACTTGCAACACATAGAGCGGGTTCTCATTGCTCTCTTGCAGGCAGAACTTACATGCAATCCCAAAAAAAGTGCCAGGCGGCCCATCTCTTGGTGTAACACTTAGGATTCATCGCTGAGGGCAGGCAAATATGACCTACATCAGAAAATGTGATTCAGGTGGCCAAGTGGCTGCATCCTCAGATAAAGGAGGTGATTCAGTGTGTGATTCAGGTGGCCAAGTGGCTGCATCCTCAGATAAAGGTGGTTCAGTAATTCCTTGACTTAGCCAGCTACCACTGTTTCATCCTCCGCTTGGGTCTCCCTCACTGTCCAACTTGCTGATCTGGTTTGCAAATGAGCTCCTACACAGGTTGAGCTTTAAAGATTTTCAAATATCACGTATGCCAGAGCCTTGTCTTGTGTGTGCCCAGCTCTTTTACCAGCTCTTAATTTTGTTCGTGGATACCTGAGAGTGAGGGATTAGGGAGGTTTTAGCCTAGCCTCAGGAGAGGAAGAAACACCAAATCTTTTACCTCAGTCAGAACCTGTTTTGCCACATGCAAGATTATGCCACTACCGAAAGAAAGGTCTTTACAATGTGGTGGGTGGTCCATACACACCGTTATGATCTATAGGGCCTTTCCTTTAACTACAGGTATGTTGATGTCCAGTCCTGGCAATAGCTGCTTTGGTGGTGTTTATTCATTATATAGGGCCCTGAGAAAATGTTTTATTTATTTATTTATTTATTTATTTACAATATTTTTAGCCACACCATTACCAGTGGCTTCTGGTTGTCAACCACAAAGGATACAAATCCTGAGCCTATCTGCTGGTTTCTCACCTTATATTCTATCAATACACTGCTGTGTATTGACTGATTTTGGTAAATGGCACCCACTTGAATGGGGGTACAACTCGGAGTGGGGACACTGGCCCCATTGATCAGCCTTGCAGTCCCTGCCTCACTTATGTTGCAGGGACCAAAACTGGAAAATAATGAGTGCTAGAAAGATCATATAACCTAGAAAGGATATAATAAATATTCAGAATTAACACAGAAGCTTTGTAATCTTAGAACTGTATTATTGGAAAGAACCCTATGGATCATCAAGTCTAGCCCCTATCAAGGAATCAAACTCCCTATCTTTGGCTCTACAGCCAGATGCTGAAACCACTGAGCTATCCAGCAATTAATGAATTACACAACAGGAGAGGGGGGGGGTCCCGTGGGACCCAGGTCATTGTGACACCAGTCAATGGTTCTTTATTGGCATAGCAAAAAGGCCCAGACTTTTTCCTAGCCCGGAGGGAAAGAATATCATAGTTCCTGAAAGATAATGTTACTGGAAATTGAAATTTGCTGTGACGTGGGATACCGTTAAAGCATTGGGGGGGGGATGGTAATAGCACATGCTTTATATTAAAAGATGGCTTGTAAAGAACAACTGCCTCAACTGGTAAATGAATCACAACAGATTCCTTATTGGATGTCATCCTATTCTCCAAACTGGGGCAGGAGAAAACAACTTTTATAGATTCTCTTCTCATGGTCCGAGATAGAGGAAACAATAAAAGCAAAGAGACAGGAAAGGCTCCTGGATATCCTACTGAACTCTAAAACATTTGGTGAAGAGCTAGTTACTGAAATAAAAGTGACTGGTATACTACCTCCTTCAATGCATGGAGGCCGTATGCCTAATTCTGAAAACAAAGAATCCCTTTATATGTAGCAATTATGGATTTATCTTTTTAATACATGTGGATGGAAAAATAACCTACTATCTTGGCAGAATGCTTGGAGACATGTTTACCTATGACAATTCATCCAGCACAGGTGGATTTTGTGTTAAAAGACAGGGAACTGTCCATTAATACTTTTTGGTCAATATTACATCAGAAAGAAGAGATGTGTGTTCTTTGTACATGATTTTTCCCCTCTGGATGCAGAGAAAGTCTTTGACCAAATGCTGTGGGGATCCTTACACCAGGTTCTGCCATAGTACCTTAAAATTAATGAACACTTTTAATAGGGGGAGAATGCACCTTAGCATCAGCTGTCTCTGAATATGTGCAGGAAGCAACCCCACCTTTGACAGGCAGTTACTTTCTTCTCAGTAAGTTAGCTAACAGTGAAGACTATGCATGTCTACTGAAAAGTAAGAACCCTTGATTTCAGTGAGGTCTACTCCCAGCTAAGTGGGGACAGAATGGAGCTATCCAGCTCAGAAGTCAAAGTGACTTTTACTCTCATCCAATTCTTATTTTCTTTCTCACTCACATGCACACAACTCCTCTGCCTCATTCCAAGGGCATGCAAAACCAAATTACAACATTAAAAAGTTGGTATCCAGCCTCCTTCCTTTATATGAAGAAAGACAATGCAAGAAGCAACCTTACCTTGACATAAGCATGGGCCCTTCTAGAATTCATGGCCAAGGGATATTATACCTTTAATAACACTATCACTTAGCATGGCTGAACAGTGTGTGTCTGTATCCACACATCCATTCAACAGGTCACTCACACAACTGATTTAAACACGCTGAGAACAGTAATAGTCCTCTCCCAAATAAATTATTTCCAAAGATTCAACTGCCAGTTCAGTATACAGAAATGGGTGGGTGGGTATATTTTTGCCTCAGGCAGCAAAACATTTTGGGCCACCCCTCACAAAACACCTTGCTCCACAAGAGTTGCAATTAATTGAAACAGCCTTATTCCTGTCTCTAATATTATGGGAATCTGATTGTGCCGGGGGACCGCACTTTTTGACACAGGGTTGTTGTTTTTGCACAAACAGGGTTTGTGCACAGGGTTGTTGTTGTTTTTTTCGCACAACAGTCCAATATTCCTAACACGGAGCACTGAGTATGTGTTTACTGTACAGTATTTGAAATGCTCTCAAATAAATGTGTACAGCACATAGCCCCACTGGTGTAGTCATTATCATCGTCATCTTAAGAACTGCGGAGGTGGAAGGGACCCTATGGATGACCGACTCCAACTGCTATTATGCAGAGGTGGAAGGGACCCTATGGATGACCGAGTCCAACTGCTATTAAGGAGGCATCGTGAGGAATCGAACTTCCAACCTCTGGCCCTGCAACCAGATATTAATATCTTGCACGTTTATCATCATCATCATCACAGAGCTGCAGAGCTGGATGGGATACTATGGATCATCATTTAATGGTAAATTGACCATTCCTACGGAAAGAACGGTTGCCTTACTGTCTAAAAAAAGTGGATCAAGCCGAACCCCATGAATCCTCACCACCTCACACCTTGCTTATGATCCAGTAAAGCTGCTACATGGCTCTCACGCGGCAACTTTATATATATATTTATACAAGCGGTTTTCCTCGGCTAATTCCCACAGAAGTACCGTTGAGAAACACATTTCTTCCCACCAACCAGCTAGGAATCGAGAACCCGGCGACTTTTCCGAACTATTTCAACAAACGAGAGGAGAGGAGAGAAACTCCCTCCAAGGCAGGAAATGGCCCTATTACTCAAAGCAACCCCGCCCGGGGTCAGGGATTATGGGAGATGTAGTACAACCTTGGCGGAGGCCCGGCTGCAGGAGGAGTTTAAAAAAAGCAGTTATAGAGCTAGGAAGCGGTGCTGACGCTTTTTGAAGGCTGACAGATTCCGTTTCAAGCTGAGCTTTCCGGCAATAGAGTCCGGATCCTCCCCCGTGAAAGAAATCTTGTGAATATCATAGTTCCTGACAGACAGTGTTACTGGAAAATCCCCCGTGAAAGAAATCTTGTGAATATCAAAGTTCCTGAAATCTTGTGAATATCATAGTTCCTGAAAGACAGTGTTATTGGAAAATAAAATTTGCTGTGACGTGGGATACCGTGAAATCTTAGCGGTCCCCTCAATACTACTTGGGTTCGCTTTTGCTATGCAGGTGTAGAGAGACGCTGTTTTCCCCCATTCAGGAGAAAAATCGAGATAATATAAAGCAACAAAGTCAGCTAAGCAGTTTTAACAAAAATGCGAGTGAACCTCAGTGTCGACCGACAAAACACAAAAGCAGCCGGAAGGAGAAGAGCTGAGTCGCTTTGTACCTCGTTTTAAAGTTCCTGTAAAGAAAACTCCAGTTTGTAGGTTTTGTTCCTAATGTTTTAATGGTTCCCTTGGAAGGTGCGTCCGTGTGATCGATAACACTGGCGCTATTTATCCAGGTTTTCGCCACCGTTTTTTCTATAGTCTGCTCCTATAAACGAAGGTGCGTCCGTGTGGTCGATAACACTGGCGCTATTTATCCAGGTTTTCGCCACCGTTTTTTTTCCTATAGTCTGCTCCTATAAACACTTAAGGGGGAGAGGACGGAGCCTAAAACAATGAATAAAAAAAAATACTGTAAATAACTACAGTACAAGCAAACAACGGGAGCTCGGAAGTGGATGTCCGTGTGTTAATCTATAAGTTGCAAATCTATGACGGGGCGCACGGAAGCAAAGGCGATGCCTAATAAAACCACCCCGCGTTGATCTGGTTCAGGGATACAAGGGTTGCTGCGAGAAAGGTAATATTTTGGGGAAATTCAGTACCTCGTGCATTCTTTTATATATTGTGGCACTTGAGATCTATACGAGAACAGTTACGCTGCTTATCCTAAACCCAGCCTTGTTTTATACTGTGTGTGTCCCCGTTGAGTAAAATCGGAGTTCTGGCCCCAGGGAGTGCAGACTAAGGGATTGTATATATAGGATTGATTGTGTGTGTTGTGTGTCTGTGTGTTCTGGGCTGTCAAGTTGGAACGGATTTATAGCGACCCTCACAGGGTTTTTAAGATAATTGAGATATTTAAGGAGTGGGTTTGCCAATTCCTGAGCCCCAGTAAGTTTCCATGGCCAAGTGGGGATTTGAACCCTGATCTCCAGAACTCTAATCTCACTCTGTCCATGACTAAGACCACACTGGGATTACACCCCAATAAATCTATACGTTGCATTTGCTGACATAAAGGTTCAGTATCTTGCTTTCGTCATTAACTAGCCAGATGCTCCTGGTTACAAGTAATACACTGTGGAGTAAATACATAGAATTTATCAGATGCCTTACTCTAATGCATTTCCCCCCCCCCTCTTCCAAAGGTATTTTGGCTTGAGACAAAGCAGCTTTTCTACCTGGTAGAGATGAGTACAGTTAACAACCAAAAACTTTACAGGCCGGATGAAAAAGCTGCTCATGCTGTGGCCGCTGAAGATGAGCACAAACCAGCTGAGCAAAGATCTGGTTCGGAAAGACGGGTTTGTACTAGTCCTGGCATTGCAAGCCTTACAGACAATACCAAGCGATTTAAGCTGAGTAGTAGTAATAGCCATGAACAGACTGTTCAAGAAAGGTAAGCTCTTTTCTTGATCAAGACTTTGCATTGTACAATTTATAAACTCCTTGCACAAGTTCTGCTTTTGCGTCTGAATGACAGATTTCATAAGCATGCAACAAGCATGCAACACGTAAGGGAGAAACATGTACTAACTTGTGCAAGATGTGTTGGTGATAGGCACCTCCAGCCCCAATTTTTATACAGGGCATTTTTTTTTCAGCTAAATTTTTCTCACCCCCTTCTCTCTAGAATAGCCATGCAAATAATGTGTTGTGTGTTTAGCTGCTGCTGAAAGAGAATTGTTTGCATTTGAAGTTGAGCTAAAAGTAAAGAGTATGAATATTTTCTAGATTTCTTCTCTGGTCCTGTAGATACAGTAATGAAAGTTGCTTCCTGTATGATGAAATTTTTCACAGACATCACTTGTGTCTACGTAATAAAGTTGGATGTAAGTTTGGTTGGTAACCACAAGGTGGAAATGTGGTATGATAATTGATATTTGTATTTAATATGCTAAATTCCTTACAGGAACACATGACTTCTCACGTCAGAATACTTCCTGATAAATGAAGATACTTATTAGCAAAAAAATCGCGGGCTTCAGGAGCTTATTAGTGAGCTGTTGCTCGAAACTCTTTGGATGGATTTCCCTTCTTAACTGTCATCTAGTTGCGGCCTAACAGTCCTTTCCACCCTCTGTCCTACGGGGCCTGTTCTTCCCATACATATGAGCCTCAAAAATGTTTTTCATAAAGGGAACAGAGTGATTAATTTGAAGCAAGAACTGAGAAAGGTGTTAGCTCTGTGTTTACATGGTTTCACAGAGCATTTCTGAGTAGACATGTTTAGGATTGCACTGTGAAGATATGTTTAGGATTGCACTCTGTACTTTAAGACAGGTACATGGTTTCACAGAGCATTTCTGAGTAGGATTGCACTATGAAGGCATGTTTAGGATTGCATTCTGTACTTTAAGACGGCGTTCACAACCTGTGGCTACTGTTAGACTTCAGCTCCCATCAGTTTTAGCCAGCATAGCCAATGATAATGGATTGAAGGAACTGAGGTCCAGCGTCTGGAGGGCCATGCATTGTCCATCTCAGCTATTGAACAGCAGTGCAATCCTATTGTGGCCTTAATTAGAGATAACTCTTGGGCTCTAGGGAAACTAGGAGCAGAGAGTAGAGTAACAGTATCTAACAAAGTGAGCAGAGAGTAGAGTAACTACAGTGTATCTAACAAAGTTCCCAGTGTGCCCATGGGATTCCTAGCATTCTTCAACAAGAGGCATGATTGGCTAATGCCGGTGACCTCATTTAGCTCTCTTCTCCACCAACACAGATGAAGAAAAGCAGTGTCCCATTGGCAGCTGTGTCTCTCACTGCAGCCTGCTTATGCACCATGAAAACTGGTGGAACCACTCCTCCTCAGCAGCACACACGTACCAACACAGATGAAGAAAAGCAGTGTCCCTTGGCAGCTGTGTCTCTGACTGCAGCCTGCTTATGTATCATGAAAACTGGTAGAACCACTCCTCCTCAGCAGCACACACGCAGCCGACAGGGCACTCTTATTTTTTCCACTCAACAAAATGCTCTTCCATTATGCAATCCATGTAGTGTGGGTAAGCCACTGAAGGGGCAAGTGTGTACAGAGTTTAAGCGTGTATAAGAGGAGAAGACTGGAAAGAAAAAGTAACTGTGAGAGATTCGTGGAAAGGGATGATGAGAAAATAAATTGTAAATTATTATTGTTTGAAAATTCTACAAACTTTCCGAAAGTTTTGGGGGAATCTAGCTGATTATCTCAAGTTTTTGAATTCATGATATTTCAAAAGTGAGGACTGGGAAATTCTCCAACCCTTTTATGAGAGATTATAGCTACTCATTTTGAAAACCACTTTGTTTATTAACTTTGTTTACTTTTTCCATTTTGCCACTCTAGCCTCCCCCCCAGTTCCTCCTGCAAACATGGCATGAGAATAAACACCAGGTCTATCCCTTAGCAGAGCCCTACTGCATCTGCTCTGATTATTCTCTCTGCCACTGATTGCAGCTAGCAGGGCAAATCCACCTCCCCTTGCTTTGTTTGTCTTCCCAGTTAGGACTGGCTGCTGTCTGGAATTGTCCTCCCTTCTCCTGTTTTTCATGACATGTGGCAGTTGTAGTTCTTGGAAACTCTGACAGTGGTCAGCCATATTCAGGTGGTACAGAAAAGGGTTTCTGAACAATTTGTTCCCTCTGTGAAAAGAGTGAAATTTTAAGCCAAGTAGCTGAAACCCATTTTGTAGGAGGGGTGCTGTGTAACACAATTCCACGCAGGCAAGAGGAATGCCTCTTGCTCTCCTCTCCTCTGGACCCCCATATGTGCCCAAGTCTTCCAGAACTAGAGGAAGAGGGGAAGTCCTGCTAGCAGTTTCCTTCCTCTTAGTGGATGGACAGAATAGAGACACCGGGTGTATTTATTTCTTGAAAACTTAGACAGTTGGTTATTCATTTCACGCCAAAATATAGTGTATGGTCAATGTAAACAAAACACATGCCATTTTTGTCATTGAGCCAAGACTGGCAACAAGTGCCTTTTAGTGGAAAACTTAGGTTTGTGCCTCTGCATTGTAGAAAACAAACTCTTCTGGAATCCTGAATGTATTAAATCCATTTCAAGAAGCAGATATCCAGCTCCAGGATTTTGTTTTGAATATACTAAAAAAATCAGAGAAGAGAAGTGCTTTTTAAATTAAAAAAACACCCTTTAATTCAGGTAGTACAGCTCATTTTTTTCAATTCCAGATGTTAAAGTGAGTTAAGGGCTCGTATAATTGTGGAGTGGTTTCAAAGTAAAAGAAAAAATTGTAGACTAAGTGCACAGTGTCCACATGTACCATGACACCTCAGATGGACATTAAGACCATGCACAAATCCTATTCTGTAAAACTGCCACGTGCAAGTGAATCACGAGAGAGTTCTAGTTTGGCAAGAGTTGCTCAATGGGTTCTTCACCCTTAACGCATTGTCTACCAGTGATGCTTTTCGTCATATTGGAAGGATATTTAAGGACCCCAGATTGATCACAGAGCCTGCTGAATGTAACACAACTTACTAGTCACATATGGCAGTACAGTAGGGTTTACTGTTTTGTTTTCTTCCTGGAGCTATGACGAGGACAGAGATTGAATAAGTTAATTTTGGGAGCTCTGATTCCTAGTTATGTTGGACTGTGGGATTCTGGGAATTTATATTGTTTTCAAAAATATATTTCCAAGTTCTGAAAAAGGCTGACTGAGAAGAGCAGACAAGTACCTGGTAAAGAACTGTATAATTCAGGGCTCAATCAGATGCGCATTTTCCCCACTGTTTGAATCGCTATGGGGCAGGTTGTTTTTTTTCTGGCAGTCAGGCAACCTGATTGTTATAGCAAACAAATCTGTTCCCAGAGCACACCTACCTGTACCTTTTTGAGCCCCTGTTAGGGGTTTCTACTTTTTGGTGTGAATAGGGGCGCTTTGGTTTGGTCCATTTCCAGCATGTGTGATCACTGGGAACGGACCAAAATCTAGTCTTGCAGTTCTAAAAGCTGCCAAGGTTCCTTCAGCTATGTTTCCAGCATTGTCGAATGGCTTGAACCACTTAAGGATATTGACAAATTGAATACTTCACCTGCTCCTCTTCGGAGGGGCAAGGAAGTTAAATTATTTAAAAAATTAGCTTTGCTAGCCCATTGCTGGTGCGCTTAATCACTAAGATTCAATTTAAGAATGTTTTCTATGCCTTTGTGTGTCTATGGCTGCAGGCAGTTTCTTCCTCAGCACTACACACAAGGCAAAGCATTTTTTGAAAAAGTATAAGTGATCCACTGAATTAGCAGTGGTCCAGCAGAAGCCAGAAAGAAATTCACTTCCCTCAGCACTACACACAAGGCAAAGCATTTTTTAAAAAAAGGATAAGTGATCCAGTGAATTAGCTGTGGTCCAGCAGAACACAGAAAGACAGAAAGAAATTCAATTCCCCTACCCCTCTGCAGAGGAGCAGGAAAGTGTTCAGTTTTCTGATTTTCTGAAATGGCTTGCCTGTTAAGCCACCTCACAGTAATGAAAAGTAACAGTGGTGGAAGCCAGATTAAACAGAGTCACTTGACGTTGGTATTCTATTTGGATGTGAGGGATTTGTAACAAATGGCATATTGCTTCGCCCCATACCCTCAACCTCGGGCTACCATTTATAGACCGCACCAGCATGCTCCAAAAGGGCCAGTGTAATTGATACCTCAGTCTGGGTAGCCTAACAACTCCAAAGGACCAATGCTGCCTTCAGTGGAATTGCTTTCTTCATTATATGCTGATTCCAAATTGCTTAAGAACTTACTTCATTTTATTTGTAGTCTACTTTTCTCATAATTCAAGCCTCCAAGGCAGGTTACAAAAAGGGGGAGGGGGAAAGCCCAAGTATAAAAACTGCATTATTTTGGAATTATCCATAAATAATAATAATTATTACATCAATATTGTCATAGTAATTATAAAATTAATAAGTTAGAAGTTAAATGAAAAGCTAAGGTAAAAGTTAAGTAATGGGGGAGTTAGAGGCTTTAACACGAGTTTCTCTCCCTTCAACATATTTTTCTCACAGTCCTGAAATGCTGCAGCAGAAGACAAGGAAGGCAAGTGGCCCTTTGGTTACCACAGAAGAGAAACGGAAAAAAGGAGTTTTTGGCATACAGTTTAATAAAAGCAAAAAGGAAAAAACTGCTGCTCAGGAGAAGGTGTCTTCCACAACTACAAACACCAAAAACAAAGTGGAGCCTGCGGCGGCTAACCAAGCAGACAATACACGTGCAAAGACAACGCAGACAGAGATCTTGAGAACATCTCCATTCCACTGGGGAAAATTGCTTAAGAATAGAGGGAACCAGCATGAATCATCCGTCATCTCTCTCCCAATAGAATCTTCTGTAGACTAGTGAGTTCATATTATCCAAGTTATGTTGCGGAGATCTGTTTCAAATGCTGTTGATTTGATTAATTATATTTTTCTCTATGTTTGATGGGTGATGCAGCCATGATACATTTATTCAAAAAAATTGGCAAGCTTTCATGGGCTACAGAATCATTTTGCAAACGAAGACACTATTGCTTACTGTAAATATGTTAGCTCCCTTCAGATCTGAATGGTATCAACAGGGAAACATGAGCTTCTTCCCTTCTTGGCATGAATTATCTATCCTCTTTCTTCCAGAATCCAGCTGAATCAGGCTTTAAGATAACAGCTGTACTAACAGTAACCAGCATGAAGGCTAATTAGATTGCCTTTTAACCTGAAATTCCAAGCTCATGTCTAATCCTATCTACTGTTTCCTTAATTTTGCTTGCTTTCTTCCCTTTCACTATTTTGGGGGAGATTGGTAAATGGATAAGACAACTTGCTTTCCGCAAACCCACATGTTGGCTGCTTTGATACTTAGTCATCTTGCAGCAATCACGGAATGTCCCCTCATGGTGTGCAGAAGATGAGGAGCTGTAAAAGAAAAAAGCAAATGTCATCCTGTGTGTGCCAGACTGCATAAACTGAGTACTTGGTATTTTTTTTCCTCCAAGCTCATAGCTTACAAGCCTGAATACAAAACCTCTCAATGCCTGCAGGCTGCAGCAAAAGAAGGGAGGGAAAAGATAATTTAGTAGAATAAAATGTGAAGTGTCTAAAAAAAAAAGTTGTCCTGCAGCCAGTATTGCTTTAGTGATTCTAATTTAGCTGTATTGTACATATATTGATTTTGCCTTCTATGGTCTAATGTGCCATATGAGATGTCCTTTGTAAAAAATGAATAGGAATTTATAGTTTCATACTTTATAAATGTTGCAGACGTTTCATGTAATGTATCTGCAGGTGATGATTTTGGTGATAAAACAGTAATGTATGCAATTTTATGCTAGGATTTTCTTTTAAAATTGACTATAGTTTAACTGAATGAGTTAAAAACATGGATCTGTAACATTAATCCAAACTAAAGTAGGTTGAGAATGAAGTTTTAATCCAGATCAGAACTTGCTTTGTCATTTATGGTGAGAAAGAATCTTTTCTAGGCTGAGGAATTTTGATAAAAGCTCCCTTTTCTTTTTCATAGTAAAACAAATAATGTATATATATACATGTTGAAATGCAAGTTAATAACAGTGACACCTGTGGACTTAATAATTGTAAAATTGGCCTACATCAGGGATGGGAAAAGTATGGCCACCAAATGTTGTTGAACTGCAACTTCCATCACTGCTAGCCACTGGGGAGTTGCGCTCCAGCAACATCTTGACACTTACACTTCCCCCCACCCTGATCCACATATTCCTACAGCCCCCTTGGGGGACATTCTGTTGTAGCAAAGGATTGATCAGAAGCAAGCTTTAGTTAGACAAGCGTGTTCAGAAAAATGTCAGATTCAGATAAATGGGGAATATATTAGGTTGACGGTTTACTACCATCACCTAAACTGGCGGAGCAGGGAGGGAGCATGAACACCTGAGAGTAGTTTTATGTCTTTCTTGGGTATCTAACACAGCCAGCAACATCTAATGTTTGGCTTCCTGAAAAGAACAGTCAGCTTTTTAGCACTATCCTCTGTTGCAAGTATATTCTGGAAGAACCCCAGATGGGAAGGGAGTTAATTTTTTCATGGCATTTTTGCTTAAATGCCTGTTAAAGCCATTCTGATACAAGTGTAAATGTCACCCAGCCCTATCATTTTGTTCTCCTCTCACCAGTCATGCAGAACAATTACAAGGACTGGCATATTTTTACGGCAAGGTTTTGCCTCCTGCACTTAGCTTCCAAGAGTGTGTTGTTTTGTTGTGTCTGAAAGCCATGATTGGCAATATAGCTAGGTCTTTAATTCTATTTTATTTTGGGAAAATGGGATTAAGTGAACAAACTGTTGAGACAACTGTTGTCTAGTCCTCCAGACAGCCTGGCAGTTTTCTTTCCAGAGGCTCAAGCTGCTTAGACAGATAAGCAGAGTACCAATACCTAAAAAGCTACCTTTGTTTTTCAAGTCCCTATCCATCATAGATTGCTGTCTTCTCCTGCCCAGCAGGATGACTTAGCATGCATTTTGATGGCGATGATATGCTAGTGCCAGCCCCTTCAACCTCCATGCAGTTTGTTATCAGGCTCTAGTAAGTACTTCCAAGTTTCATTCTGGTATGCTTTTTGCTTGGTAATCATTTTTCTCCATGTCACAGTTCATTTGTTGGGTTGGTGTCTAAAGCAGCAAAATCCTGAATTAGCCAGGTTCTTTTTTATTATTGGTTGGATCCACAGATTGAACGATTTTTTTATTATTATTATTATTATTTAAATTTTGTTATTGGTTGGATCCACAGATTGAATTTTGAAGAAATTCTCCCTACAGTGTTATTTTACTTGTGGAATATTTCACGTGGCACAGATCCACAGCCTGAACATATATCATGAGAAGACCTCTTCGTGCCTCTAGTTAACAAAAGAGTAATTCTGGATTTCAGTTATCTTTTTTAGTGTTATCTTACAACAAAACTTTCAGCACCTAAAAGAGGACTTCCATACATGTAACAAAATCTCTGGATCCAACCTAGGAGCAGCAGAAGTACAGTATATGCTGTATGTAGTATCCTTATTTATCCCAAAATAAATAAGTTCAAGTTTAAAATAAGTAAGAAGAATGTGCACTGTACATTGTAACACCATTAAAACAAACACATTTCCTGGGATTTCCGATTTCTCCTCACTTGAAGAGTGAGAGGAAATCAGAATCCCCCTTATGGAATCTGACACACTGCAAGGGGCTAGAAAGTAAAAATGGGCATAATTCTGAGTAGTAATGGAGAAAATGCTAGATGCACAATCCTGGTGAAGTTCTCCAGTTGTGTACAACATGTGGCTTATTGGGTGGCTGTCATAACTGGTATTTCATATAATTTTATACTGATTGCCTTCCAAACAATCCTCATTTGAATTCAGTGGGAGGTCTTTGAAGTCTGAACACAGGATTGTAGTCTTCAGGTGAAATATAAAAGTTGGGTGTGTGGTGCAACAAACTCATATTTCCTTCTGGCAGCCCTTGTATGTGTACCCCAAATCTGATGCAGAAAATAACTCAACTCCATAGAGCAGAATTTGAAAATGGGCAGGGGGTGCAGAGTGAGGCCGAACATCACCCCCCCCCCAATTCTACTGATTGAAGTAGAAGGGTTAGCTGAAGGGTTAATTGGATATTAATTACATCTTCAGATTTATTGACTGAAATCCAATAATAAGTTGCAACTAGAGTAATCCCATTGACTCAATGAAATTTATGGATGAGCTGACCCCCTCATTCAGTTGGCCAACTCTAGCTGCAACTTGCTTCTGGACTTCAGCCATCATATGATTGCAGTGGAATTGGACTTCTTTTTGAATCTAACATTATTTTTGTTCTTCTTTGTGCATGATTTCAAAGGTTCTGCCATCACCAACAAAATGCATTCTAATCTGGGAGGCAACAATCTCTGAGAGTTTGATAATTCAGGCAAAAAAAGGTGTGTGCCCTCACGTTATATCTTTCAATGTAATTCAACTTATTTTTTTTGTAGCAGTTGCAACATATTTAAATCTTTTATTTCTTTCATGTTCTGTTGTTTGAATATACCATTAACACCCATTACTGTTTAAATTCTCCCTAATTTCATAGGTGTAGTTAAAAAAAAGACATATCTCTGTGATTAGACTTCTACTGTTAAATGAAATGTACATTGATGTTGTTGCAGCGAGGAGGACATGTACCGTGATGCAGAAGAAATAGAAAGAGAAAAAGTATTACTTGTATGTGGGACAGGCTCCTCAGGTACATTTTAGTACTACTTGCATATGGTATGAGGCATTAACTGAATGATACATCAGGTAGAATTTGGCAGTTGGCAGGAGCCTTGCCCAGCACCCCTACGCCCAACCTCCTTCTCAGAGAGGCTCTGATCAAGCATTCAGAGCTTCATTCAAAACATGGCCTCATTCCCAGATAAATAGAACATGTTTATTTTAGAGGAATAACTGATAGACTTAAGTAAAAGCAGAACTAGCTGTGTTGTCCATAAAACAAACTCTCTAAATCATACTGAGGAACCATCTTTCAGGTAGTACCCCTGAGAAAATAAGGACATTGGAGCCTGCTGACTTTGCCATATTCTGAGTAGCAAAATAGGAGTATTTTCCCCTTTGAACATGACCTAGAGCAAATATACGTATACAGTGGTGCCCCGCTAGACGCTTACCCCGCATGCCGTTGAAATCGCTTGATGATGACATTTTTGCGATTGCAAAACGATGGTTCCAATGAGGGAAATCCGCGTTGCGTAATTAGGAGCCTGCTTCGCGAACCGTTTGTTCACAAAACAATGTTTTTTCTGGCTGTGCAAAATGGCTTCCCTCCCTTCTCAAAATGGCTGCTTTCCGGACAGAAGCGTAGCATTACAATTCTCAAAATGGCTGCTTTCCAGAGGGAAGTGTCACGTTACAACGAATTTGAATAGCTGATCGGCGGTTCTCTATGGGCAATCTTCGCTGGACGATGAGGTATTTCCCCCGTTGGAATGCATTGACCGGTTTTCAATGCATTCCAGTGGGATTTTTTTTTTTGTTTTTTGCTTGACAACGGTTTTGCTTAACAGCGATTTTGCTGGAATGCATTATCGTCATCAAGCGGGGCACCACTGTATTTGGCTTGATCACATGACAATTCAGTTTAGTCACTGAGTGACATCTACTACCAATGAATGGTCTTCATATATTCCATGTTTCTTTCATTTTGTTTTCCACCCCATCTTAATTCTCACATCCCCTACAATCCTTTTTAAGTTATAAAGGGGGGTGCCTTTTACAGTCCTCAGTAGGAAAAGGACTTGGCATCACAGGACGTAGGTCTAGCAGTGTAAGTCCTGAGGGCAATCCTCCTCTCTTAGCTTTAGGCCAAGGAAGGACACCTTTGACCTTCCAAATACCTTGGGTAGGGAAAAGCAGTTTGTTTTTCTTGGACTTCAACTCCCAGAGCTTTCCAAGAATTCCCTAGATAGAAGTCTGGGAGTTCTAGCCCACAGGCCTGCATCTAGAGGACACCTATGTTTCGTTCACCTGGACTAGGGCCCACCTGCATTGGCTTTTCTGAGACCTTCACTTCCTGTTAGTAATGTACAAAAAAGGAAGCTGCCACAGTGCCCTTTAGGGGAAGCCTAAAGGAAGCCCTTTTAGGCTCTAACTCCTGCTTTTGTGCATTACCAACAGGACGAGAAGGCCTGAGAATGCCAGGCAGTCTCCAAGATAGGACAAGGTCCAGGTGTGAGTCTCAAGGTTGGAACTCCCAGAATTCTCTCTGGGGAATTCTTAGAGAATTCTGGGAATTGAAGGCTTTAAAAACATGAATGACATATCCCTCATTTTATTCTTCGGTCCGTAGCCCAGCTATCCTGCCCAGAGTATTATGGGAGATGGGGTTCAAAATATACAGGGGGCAAATGTTCTCTATCCCTGCTTTAACTCAAAAGGAAGAAGATGGCAGACTGTTAACTCCCCTTTAGCTGACTAGGCCCTGCTTGGTTGCCAGGGCAGAATGAGAGCAAAGTGCAGTCCTTCATACCCATCATGTTGTGTGCACCTCAGAGCGGGTTCCTTCACTTAAAAATTGACTGCGTGTCTCACTCCACTTCCCCCACCACTTCCCTTTCCTGTTTTTGCATTTGCACATATTAATGGAGAATTTGTGTGAGTCCTGTAAAAAAAAAAGATGACATTGAATGTGAAAATTAAGTAGGTGAGAAAGAATTAAATGAGGTGAAATGTTTTGCACAAGGGCTGATGTACTTAGGAATTGTCCTCAATGTAAGCCTAAGCAAATCCCAGGCTTGGGGGATCTCTTTCTGACAGACAGAAAGTGTCTTGGCATTTCTGTATATTAATTTATATGGTGGTTTCTTGTTTTATGCAGAAGAAGTATGCTTCTTGAATTTTTACCTAAATATAATTCACATGTCTTAATTGCAATTCAGATATTCTAGAAAACAAGATAAGTGTTGAACCTGAAATTGACATCATGGATTACTGCAGAAAAGAATGGAGAGGAAACACTTCCCACGCCAAATGTATAAGAAAGGTCTGATCTCCCCTGCAATTGTATATGATTAAAGGTTAAATGTCACCAGCACTTTATCTCATGCATTTGTTTGTGTGTATATTTTTGTCATTGTTTAAATTTCAACTTTCAGGATAACAATGTATTTCAAAATGTGTTAGTGAAGTCAAACTAAATACAATAGAAATTAAGTGGTCATCAGAATCCTTTCCTCAGGGCAACTGATAGAGAATACTGAGACACTGTCACAAAATTATGGGAAACCAGAAGTCTTGTAGTACTTCTAAGAATAACTAGTTTTTATTTTATGAAAGCTTTCATGTCTCCAAGCACTCTTCTTCAGATGAAATTTCTAGCACTTTTCTTTCACATCCATACAAAAAACAGACAGATGTGACCCTTTCAGATCCAAAGATGTGTTTGTGTGTGAGGCCCTGCAACCTCTAGAAGTCGCTCACTTTTCGTTTAGATGGTTGCCTAAAGTGGGCCTGTGTCTCAGCAGATTACTGACTTCTGAATTTCAGTGTATTTCTGTGAATCTCTACTTCACAATGGTCCTCCTGAAGTACAGCTGCAACTTGAGGAAGTTATTCTTTTAGGTTGTAATAGGTTATAGTTTTCAGAATCCCTCCAGCATCGTCCAAAATTTCTAGTCCAAAAGAGGAACTTTCCCAAAGGTTTGCTTGATATTCTGGGTGACTTCTAAATCAGGAATGGACAATCTCCAGAAGTTCAGGGGCTGCACTGCACATTCTTAGACCTTATAGGGCTGCCCCCATAACTTCTGCTCCTTGTTTTTCTAACAAATTGGAGAGCTTTCCCTGAATAAAAACCTTCTGCCTTCTAATGGTTGACAAGTTTTAAAATATACAGTGGGGTCTTGACTTGAGAACTTAATCCGTGTTGGAAGGCGGTTCTCAAGTCAAAAAGTCTGTAAGTCAAGTCTCCATTGACCTACAGTGCATTGAAAACCGATTAATCCCGTAACAGGCCGTTTTTGTTCCATTTTGGTTTTTTTCTGGTCTGTAAGTCAAATCTCAGTCTGCAAGTCAAACCTAAATTTTGCGGCCAGAGAAGTCTGTAACTCAAAAAGTCTGTAAGTCAAGCCATCTGTAAGTCAAGGGTCCACTGTACATGACAAAATGAGAGCACAAGGGAACAGTTTGCAGAAAAAAACTAAAATGGGGGGCTGCAGACAACATGAGGTCTGCAAGCTGGGCAGGTTGCATGTCGCTCACAGGCTACATGTTGCCAGCTCTTGTCTTAAAAGATGAGCTTTACATTGTTGAAGCGCCGATTGAATGCATCTCATAGTGATTTGTGTTCTTAACACAGGGCTATGAAGCAGTTTCACATAAATTTATTTCAATAAGAAGAGTGCGGGGGGATAACTACTGCGCTGTCAGAGCGACATTGTTTCAGGCGCTCAGCCAAACTATTCAACTTCCTGACTGGCTCCAGAGAGAAGACATTGTATTGGTAGGCCTGAAATTTTACTCTATCTCTTGATAGACTGAAGTGATGATGGTTTTTCCTAAGCAGGTATTTGAATAAGTTAATACATGAGCAGTAGGCTTTTCTATAAATATATGTACCTCTGGTAAACAGAAAAAGTACTTGGGTAGAGTTTTTAAGTTTCTCAAGTGCACTTGGTGTAGTTTTTCTGTCTGCTTCAACAACATTCTGAAATAAAAGCAGGGAGCCTGTGGCTTTCCAGATCCTTTGGACCAGTTGTCCCACTGTACACACTGCATTGGCCATATCAGGAGGAACTGATGGGCGTTGTAGGCAAAAACATCTCTACAAAGCTTCCTAATCCCTTTCTAAAAAATGTTTCTCTTAGCTGTAGGCAACAGGAGTTCGTTACTTAGATACAGTAAAAGCATTATATAGATAGATACTGGATTATCTTTTCAAATTTCTATAGATTACTAACCATTTATTTTTTTTGAAAATTTTAGCTACCACAGAAGTTGATGGCCAAATACGACTGGATTGCACAGTGGCAACTCAGACGAAAATGGACCAGTAAAGTGGAAAATTTGATGGATGAAATTAAAGAATGCTTAATGCTACTAATGAGAAAGGTTTGGAGAAACTGTGTTTTTTGTAATCATTGTAGCCTTTCTGTTTTGTGCATTCTGTGTTATTTCTAAATACCTACAGTGGTGCCTCGCTAGACAGTTACCCCGCATGACAGTTTTTTCGCTAGACATTGACTTTTTGCGATCGCTATAGCGATTCGCAAAACAGGGATTCCTATAAGGGAATTTCGCTGGACAGTGTTTGGTCCCTGCTTCGCAAACTGATTTTCGCTAGACGACGATTTTGACAGCTCCCTCCGCGCTCGCAAAAGGGTGTTTTCGGGATCTAAGCTTTGCAAGACAGCTATTTAAACAGCTGATCAGCGGTTCGCAAAGTGGCTTTCCTATGGCCGATCTACGCTAGACAATGACGATTCTTCCCCATTGAAACACATTAAACAGGTTTCAATGCATTCCAATGGGGAAATGCTTTTCGCTAGAAGATGATTTCGCTAAACAGCGATTTCAGTGGAACGGATTATCATCGTCTAGTGAGGCACCACTGTATTTAAACCATCAAAGAAAGATTGGAATTAAATGGATAGTTGTTGGCCTGTTTAATCATACCAATTCAGCAAGAGCAGTGGGTGCACTAGAAGTAACATCTTCATGGAAATTGACCACCTAGATGCTTTTTTTTTTGAAGACACACAAGTTGGATATTAAGGGCAGGGGAATGCATCCAGCCCATAGGTATGAGAGCATACTGCTGCTGTTTGCCATGGACTACACAGAGCAGTTGGTCATTCCATCTGCTCTAAATGTACTGATCTCACACTTGGACTGAGGTTGGTGGGTAGGTGAGACCATATAGCCATCTCTCTGGCAGGGAAGGGATTTTTCACTTTGGTTAAAAAACCTCCTTTCCCACCCCATTTACCAGTTCTTTCTCTCACACTGGGCCCTCTGTGTGTCTCCCGAGCCTAAACAATTCCAGAATCCAGTTATTTAAAGTGAAAAATCAGCCATGTCTGTGCAAACATGTTTGTTTGCAGCTGTTACTGTTCCAGAGATCTTTCGAAGTAAGAACTACACATTCCAGAATCTTGTAGCCAGCATGGCTGGAAACCAGTCCCTATGAAGAAAGACTGAAAGAACTGGGCATGTTTAGCCTTGAGAAAAAAAATTCAAATATTTGTAAGGCTGTCATTCAGAGGTGCAGGATCTGTTCTCGATCATCTCAGAGTACAGAACATGGAACAATGGGCTCAAGTTACAATAAACCAGATCTCAGGAATATCAGGAAAACATCCTAACAGTTAGAGCAGTATGGCAATGGAACCAACTGCCTCAAGAGGTGGTGAGTGTTCCAACCCCAGAGGCATTCAAGAGACATTTAGACAACCACCTGGCAGATATCCTTTCATTTGTTTTCCTGCATTGAGCAGGGGGTTGGACCTGATGGCCTTATAGACCCCTTCCAACTTCATGATTCTATGAATATCAAATTGTACTTGTACAGTACTCACATAAGGCTGAATACTATCTATTTGCTTCTTGATAATTAGTTGATATTTTGTTAGGTTTGATAGATCTATTTCTCATATTATTTTAAGTGCATGTCACTTCTTGTAGCCTTTTAATACTGGGTTTACTAACTTAAGCCCTATTGATTTCAGTGGCTGAAATCCTGTTTGAATCAGTGGGGATTTGGTGAGGCAGTTTTTCTGTTAATTCTATTGATTCAAATGATCATATTCTAATTGTGACTTCCTACGCTGAGCAACAGGATTTCAGTCACTGGGTCTGCTCGAAGTATGAAAGTAAATCTGGATCCAACTGATTGCTTACAGGTCAGCTTCTTTCTGGAAGAATGGTTTAAAAATATTAAATCAGTTTATTCGGCTTTTATTGTATGCCCTTGATCAATTGAGTTTAAATGTTTGCTTATTAACAAAAACTGTACAGTTTGATAAATCATTAAAAAATATATTACAGATTTATAGAAGTTACTGCTCATTCCCAGAAGAAATGGCAGTCTTCAATATTTTCTCTTCTCATCCCTGTTTTGATTTGCTGCAGTGTTGATTTGCTGTAACATTGCAGCAAAACTACGAGTATTTAAATCACAATGAAAGAGCAATTGCATTAAAAGCAGTTTATAAGCATATCAGTATATAAAGCATGTTAAACGCCTCTTCCTGAGCAGCTGGTCATTGGCCGAAAGCCCAAATGCAAGTAGATGCACCACAGCTGATGCATTTTGGCTTGACTAACTCATACCTTGCACTGAGTAGTGTGGCCTTTGAGGCTGGAATTCACCCATTGTTCAGTGCTTGTTGTTTGTTTGTTTTTGGCACCCTCATTTATCCAATCATCACACGTTTGTATTTACAGTGGAAAAATCTGAGTGAAATGAAAAACGTGGCAGAGCGGCTGGCCGCTTGTGATGAGCTTTTCAGAAGTGAAGAAGAGGAATACAAACTCTATGAAGCTGTGAAATTTCTCATGCTAAACATTGCAATCAAGTTGTATGAAGACAATGAAAAGGGGAAAGAGGTCCCTGTGTTCTCCTGGCTTCTCTTTGCTCGGGATACATCCAGCGATCCTTCCCAGTTAATGGAAAACCACTTGAATCAGCTCGGTCACACAGGAGGCCTTGAACAAGTGAGCTCAATTCTCCATTCATTTGTAATTTACTGCATGTTGTCCTTACTACTTGTTAGGGATGAAGAAAGCAGGTGGTGCCCACAACTGTCTCCTTATATTTTCAAGATGATCTCCAAAACTTCCATCTGTCAGGCAGTGGTGCAGGAAATTTAAAAGAGGCACTAGCCGAGCTTGAACGACCAGTGCCCATAGTTCAAGAGCTTGTCTCTTCTTCGCATGGAATGCCCTCTGAGAGCAGAGTGTCAGGGATGATCAGGGACCTGATTTCAATTGAGGCATTTGAGCTGGGACTCTTTGGATTGAGATCTTGGGAGTTGATGATCAGCTCAAAAGATCTCAATCCAGATGTGAGGGCATTTGACTCCATGTTCAATAGATCTGGAATTAGAATGTCCTGGCTTGGGGGCAGCATTTAAAGAAAAGTTACCCAGGATGGAATTTGAAGGCTCACAACACTGACTATTAAAGCAGTACTAGCTTCCCGGAGCATAGAATTTTAGAATAACTGCTTCTGAACAAATTGCTGTCTATAATGTCTTAGCTACACATTCCTGTGTTAGAGATGAGAGTCCTGTTTGTAGTTACCATTGATTACCTAAAACCTAACAGTGCTCTGCAGAAGATAAATTACAACAGGAATGGGAAACCTTCAACTTGCAGAGCCCCTCTAGCCAGTGGGGGAATTCCCCATCCACCCTGTGAAATTCTTCTGCAGCCACCTCCTCTTTCTTCTGCAGAATTGAGTTTATCTCCTGCCAGTGATTAGGATAAGAGTGGGGATTTCCTGGGCTGAAGAAATGCAACCTTTCTTCAGTAAGTTCAGGAAAACACGAACTCTGATCCATGGTCTACAGTACAGTAGCGGGACTTTTATACTTGAGATGCCTTGGTCTGTTAAACAGCAGGGAATCTAAGCTTTAGATGTCTCAGACATGTCAGATACCTCTTCAGAGTAGACAAGTGTAGAAGTGACCTGTAGAGATGGACACACACCGTGGTTTGGTGGCTTGGCCCAATTCAGCATGGCGTCCACACAAGTATTCTGCAGGGGCCACACATTTCCCTCCCCTGCCTCCTGCATGCAGTCGCCCACTCACCAGCAGCAGCGAGCTTCCCCTCCTGTGTGATTGTCCACTCGCCAGCAGTGCTGCGAGCTTCTCTGACCCACCTCCTCATCTGAGGACTTCATGTCTATCTGATGAGTTTGTGCCTATCTCTAGTGACCTATGCTTTGGTGGGGAAATGCCCACATGGAAAAAAATTACATTTGGTTGTCCTGCTTTGCTTTAGCTCTACTTCTGTGCCTTGGCTCTGTCCATTGCTGACACATGACCTTGCGACCTTTCCCAAGTTGGAATTTGGTCTCAAAGTCTAAAATAATTCCTTGCTCCTGAGTTATACATTAGCCCGTGCGTGTGTGCACGCGCTTGCTTGCTTGCAGAGGTCAGTACCCTGCAAAATGGCTTCAGGCAGTAATGGACAAATTATTAGTAACTGAATGACCCAGAGCTGAATGGGAATCTGCTTAATGTACCTAAAGAGAACATTAATGTGAAATGGGTTTAGGGTTCAACACTTAAAATGTTCAGTTTGTCTAAAATGAAATGCTGATGGTCTAATGCAGTGGTTCTTAACCTTTGTTACTCGGATGTTTTTGAACTGCAACTCCCAGAAACCCCAGCCAGCACAGTTGGTGGTGAAGGCTTCTGGGAGTTGCAGTCCAAAACTCCTGAGTAACCCAAGGTTAAGAACCAGTGGTCTAATGTTTGTGAGGTATGATCTGAACAATGCACATGCATTAGCTTTGGTTGTCCAGTTGTTAAAACTGTGGTTTCTGTAAGCTTAGCTTACTTATTTATTTATTTATTACATTTTTATGCTGCCCTTCTCCTGGGAAAGATGGGACTCAAGGTGAATTACTGAACTGAATCTCAGTGGAGGCACTGTGAGGCCATCATGATTGATTCTGGCTGAACCACGGAAATTAGCAGACTTTGTTTTGTCTGTGCTGTGTCAGGATAAGGTAGTAGCAGAAAGAGTCTGAGTTTCAAAGAGCCTTCTACTGGATTTCAGCAAGTTTTCTTGCTGCATTTGTAAGACATTCATACCATTACACAAAATATACTCTTGGTCACAGATCTTAGGAAGAAGCCAATTAACTGGTAGTTTCCTGGATTTTAGAATGTGATTTCTTAGAGTAGAAAAGAGGACAAGACTAAGCAACAGGGTAGTTGATGTTACTTTTGATCCGAAGTGAAGTAATTTAAGGAAGATACGAGAGCAAACTATAGCACTTCATTTGCTAAATAATTAAATGTCTTATAATGTAAATGAAGTAAACAATAATGATAATAGTATAAGTGTTTTATCCTATAAGTATTTCCCCTCAGCCTGTTTTGTTCTATGACTGTAGCTTTAAAACAATTACTAGCTCTGTCTGTGTGTTAGTGTGTGAGATACGAAGAATAAAGAATCACCAGAAATGAATGGCAGCATAAGGAATGTATGGCCGCTTATGGTTATCATGTTGTTGGTGACATTATGTGAAGCAGTTCTTTCATGCAGAGAAAGGAATAAGTGATGGGGAACATGATTGAAACACAGAGAGAGAGAGAGTTTTGTCCTGCAGAAATCCAGCTTTTGAACAACTTAGCTGTAGAAGTCTCTGGATTTCCATGTGTGGTTTGCATCTTGATAGGGTTGTTTGTGTGAAGCCTTTTCCATACAAATAGTCTGCCCTTGCAGGCTCCTCAACCCTGATGGGTTTCAGGAGGCCTTGGTAGAGTTTACGGCTGATCTGGGAGGCGATTCTGTCGAAGCCCAGGAGCTTGAGGCTGACCTGGAGATTACGATGGGCAGCCAGACTGGTGTGAGCAAATTTAAACATATCACTCCAGTTCTGGCTTCCCTCTGTTAGTTACCTGTTGTGTCCCATATCAGGTTCAAGATTCTGACACTTATGTACAAAGCTGTTCATGGTTTGGGACCACGTTACTTGTTGGAGCATCAGATCCCAATGTCATCTGCCCAACCCACCAGATATTCCCAGACCAGGCTCCTCCATGTTGCCACCCTGAAGGCAGCCCGAAAGTCTTTTACTAGAGGCAGGGCCTTCTCTGCATGGCTCCACCTTTATGGAATCAGCTTCTGGAGGAGCTATGTCTACCTTCTGTCATTCAGAAGAAAACTTAAGATGTTGCTCCTTTCATACTGACCCTCGGTGATATTGCGCTTACCTCTGGTCCTGATACTTTTGTAAATTGTTCTGGTGCCATCAGGTTTTTATACTGTTAGTGTTTTTAACTGTTGTTTGGTTTTTCTTGTATTCTGTTTTAACTTCTTGTTAAACTGACTAGAATAGTGTTTTTGCCCTAATCGGGTAGTATACAAATATAATATAAATAAATAAACAAACAAACAAACAAACAGAGAGAGAGAGAGAGAGAGAGAGAGAGAGAGAGAGAGAGAGAGAGAGCAGGTAACTTATACTGGAGTATCTGAATGTTTGCTTTTTAGCTAGAGCACTGGGTACTTTCATTTCTTTCTTTCTCTTTTTTCTTGCTAGGTGGAAATGTTTCTCCTGGCCTATGCTTTGCAGCATACCATTCAGGTGTACCGACTGTACAAGCACGACACAGATGAATTCATCACGTTTTACCCCAATAACCCAGAAGAGGCCTGGCCAATGGTAACACTGATCACTGAAGATGACAGACATTATAATATTCCCGCTCGAATATGTGAAGAGACTAGCGTGTGAAAATGTGTAATATACATTATATATATTTTATGGCTGTATACACTTGAATAAACCATTTAAAAGCAAGCCTGTTCATTACCAATATCCTTCATAAATGTTACATGATTAAACAAGTAATGTGAAGAAAGCATATGAATTCAGGAGCCATATAAAGCAACTTCCAATAATTTCTTAAAGGAAGAGGCAAAATTAGTTTGTCCTGAACTAATTAGTTTGACATGAAATAGGACGTGGTGGTGCTGCGGATTAAACTGCAGAAGCCTCTGTGCTGCAAGGTCAGAAGACCAGCTGTTGTAAGATCGAATCCACGCGACGGAGTGAGGTCCCGTCGCTTGTCCCAGCTCCTGCCAACCTAGCAGTTCGAAAGCATGTAAATGAGAGTAGATAAATAGGTAGCACCATGATGGGAAGGTAATGGTGTTCTGTGTCTAGTCGCGCTGGCCACGTGACCACGGAAACTGTCTATGGATAAACGCTGCCTCTACGGCTTGGAAATGGGGATGAGCAACACCCCCTAGAGTCAGACACGACTGGACTAAATGTCAAGGGGAACCTCTACTTAGGATTAACGTTAAAGATACATTTTCACCATTTTCCCCCCATGGAAGGAAAAAAAAATACTATCAGAACCAGTTTTTGCAGATTTTGCAGTTTATTTGCCAGAAATCTATATAGTTACTGACCAGAGGAGACCTTCCTGAGTCTGGATCCGTAGCCACCTTGTGATGTGTGTTTACACACAAGCTAAGCAGGTTAACTTCCCCATTTGATTGACATGTTGGTGGAGTTATGTATTTTGGTCTGACTTATAGATGGACAACCCTCTGTCAGATCTGCTTTGATCTGGATTCCTGCAATAAGCAGAGGGCTGGATACGATGGCTGAATACGCGCTTTCCAACTCAATTCTGATTCCATGAAGGTCCAATTAAATACTGTAAGATATTCTAGACACGTATCCATAGAAATCTTAAGTAGTATAGGACGAGGCTAGTAAGGTGTGAATGTTTTATTTATTCACTTTCTCATTAATTGCCAAGTCTCTATGCAGGGAGTCTACATACACGGTTCTTTCTTTGATTCACCAGCAGATGTCATTGCAATCAAGAGAATTACTATGGAAAGTTTCCCACTTTTGTGTCACAGTGTTTCTAAGGCAGCTTTTTTTTTCTTTCAATATTTGAGAGAGATGATTAAAACATTAAACAGGGTGAATGTTAAAATGCTTATTTTAACTCTGCAATGAAAGTCATGCCTCCTTCAGTGCAACCCAGGCCTCACACTGTGCCTTTCAAATTCAAATCTAAAGCCCTTCCTGTGGATGGAAGCTACCGGGAGATACTCCAACTGATATCTCCATGTTTCTTTCACTAATTGCAGGCTCATGTCTGGGAAATCAGCAGGATACAATGCAAATTTGTTCAAGTGCTTCCCCTAGCTGACTTCCACCTGGTCTCTTGTAATCCTAACCTCATAGCTTGGGAGGTTTTCTGGTAGAGGCCACAAGCTACTAGGGGACCAATTTCCATCTGGTTTTTCTGTGTATGTTAAGGTTAACTTGCTGCTTGCTTTTCAAGTCGTATCTTAAGCCAATTTGCTTCCTTTTCAGAATCTGATTTAAATATATAAGCAACTCTGAATTGCAAAAGACATAAATCAGTGATGACAAACCTTTTTGAGCCCCAGTGCCCAAACTGCAACACAAAACCAACCACGACCACCCCGAAGAGTCCCACTCCTCCGGCCGCAAAACCTCCAGTGCCTGCCCAGGACATTCCCCGCTCTGCCTCCGGCTGCAACCCTTAAAGGTGCAGGTGGCAGGAGCCGGGTGTTTCCATACCTGGTGTCCAGGGGTGTGTGTGTGTTTGTGGTGTGGCGGCTGTTGCCTTCTTGGCTCTCCCTCCCTTCCAAAGACTTCTTCCTGAAATCCGGGATCATAGGATGGGTACCTGTTTTCCCCAAAATAAGACCTAACCTGAAAATAAGCCCTAGTAGGATTTTTCAGGATGCTGGTAATATAAGCCCTACCCCAAAAATAAGCCCTAGTTTGTTAGTTTGTTTGTTTGTTATTCGATTTCTACCCCGCTCCTCTAGACAGAGTCTACTCGGGGCGGCTTACAAAGAAGAATAAAACATTATAAAATACAATCAAATAAAATCATCAAGTATATATAAATCAGTCACATAATTAAATCTACAAATTAGAAGATCAAGACGGGAGAAAGCTAAAGAAAAAAGAAAATCAAGTGTTGACTGGAGGGAATGCCTGCCTGAAGAGCCAGGTCTTTAAATGACTCTTAAAAACACCCAGCGAGCGCGCCAGGGTGATTTCCGGCAGCAAGGTGTTCCATAGTCGAGGGGCCACTGTCGAGAAGGCCTGGTTTCTTGTTCTTTCTTTCCGGGCCTCTCTTGGCGTTAGCCCCCTCAGCTGTCTTTCCTCGCTAAAACGAGTGACTCGGGTAGATTAGGTGGGAAAAGGCGCTCCGCCATGTATCGAGGTCCTAAACCGTTTAGGGCTTTATAAGTCATCATTAACACTTTGAAGTGGATGCGGAAACAAATGGGAAGCCAATGCAAGGTAGTCAGGATGGGAGAAATGTGCTGGTATTTTCTCGTCCCAGTGAGAAGTCTGGCCGCCGCATCTTGCACCATTTGAAGTTTCCGCAACAACCCCAAAGGTATCCCCACACAGAGTGCATTACAGTGGTCTAATCTCAAGATTACAAGCACATGGACCAGAGTGGTGAGCGCCCCAACATCAAGATAGGGACGCAGCTGGGCAATCCACCGCAGATGGAAATAGGACCACTGATGTCACCTGGGTCTCCATGGTGAGCGCCGGGTCCAGATGTACTCCCAAGCTGCGAACCTCACTCTTCGTGGTGAGAGTCACTACCCTGAAAGAGAGAGAGTTTCCCAAACCACAGATGGAGGGGCGACCCACCCTCAGGACCTCCATCTTGCCCAGGTTCAGCCTCAGCCTATTCTCCTGCATCCACCGCAGTACAGCCTCCAGGCAGCGCTCATGGGATGGGATGGCATCCACTGAGGAAGGTGAAAAAGAGATGTAAAGCTGGGTGTCATCAGCGTACTGATGGCACGAAGCCCCACACCCCCTGATGACCCCACCCAGCGGCCTCATATAGATGTTAAACAGCATTGGAGAGCTGATCGAACCCTGCGGAACCCCACCGTTGAGGCTCCACGGGGCCGAAACACCCTCTCCAAGCTGGACTCGCTGAGGACAGTCCTCCAAGAAGGATCGGAGCCAGGCAAATGCCTGTTCACCGATTCCCAACTCCAAGAGCCTCCCCAGGAGGATACCGTGGTCGACGGTATCAAAGGCCACTGAAATGTCGAGGAGGACCAACAAGGACATATTGCCCCTGTCAACCTCCCTCAACAGGTCATCCAACAGTGCGACCAGTGCCGTTTCCGTACTGTGGTGTGGTCTGAAGCCCAACTGAAATGGGTCCAGGGCATTGGTTTCATCTAAAAGAGCCTGCAGCTGATCGGCCACCACCCTCTCCACCACTTTGCTTAGGAAAAAAACATTTACGGCGGGCCTATAGTTGCCAATGTCGTCCACTGCCAAATTTGGTTTCTTCCTAGTGGGCCTAATGAGTGTCTCCTTGAGGGCAGGAGGAACCTTGCCTTCAAGGAGAGACCCATTAATTATCGCAGTGGCCCATTCAGTTGCTATAGGCCTGGCTGCTTTGATTAGCCAGGCCGGGCAAGGGTCAAGGGAGGAGGTGGTGGCCCAACAGCAATCAAGCGCTTTGTCCACCAAATCTGGTGTCACGGGCTGTAAGAGTTCGAGTCTCGCTGGGCAAGGCGGAGCGCTGGACATCTCTGCTCGATCCACTGTATTCAAAAAAGGAGAGAGATCCCGGCGGATGGCGTCCACTTTAGATTTTAAAAACGCTGCAAATTGGTCAGGTGAGATATTTGTGGGAGGCCCATCACCCAGACCAATTCCAGAAGGATCGTGAACTATACAGAAAAGTTCCACCTGCTGATTTGAAGCTTCGGTCAGCGAAGTGTGATCTCCTAGCAGCCTTCACCTTAGCCAGGTAATGGTTAGTTGTGATCCTGACAGCTTTCTTATATCCGTCGGTTTTTCTCTCTAAGTGCACTCTAGCCGTCTCCTATTTCGCTTCATAGCTTGTAGTTCCTGATTATACCAAGCCCCTGGCCGAGCTCTGTGACGCAGAGGGCATTTAGGAGTGATCATGTCTATGGCCCTAGTTGCGGCGGCAATCCAGCCGTCAACCAAAACTTCGACAGGAGTGCCAGACAGATCAGCTGGAAACCCTTTCATGGTATCCTGGAATCGCAGTGGATCCAGTAACCTTTGCAGGCGGACCATCAAAATAGGCCCCTGCTCCCTGCAGGGAGGGAGTGCCACTGAGAGGTTACTTTTTATTAGGTGATGATCTGACCATGACAAGGG